GATAATTCATGTCCTAATGATGTGTTTATATTAGACCAGTTGTATGAGTACTTTATTTATTTATTTATCTTAATTTTATTTTGTTTACGATTATATTCTGGCAACATGGACTATTTCTAGGCGCAACAACGGAGATATTTTTTGCAAAATGGCCACAATGGATGTTATTTTAACAAAACTAATATATTTACAATTGAAGTCATAATTTATATGTATGAAAATAAATATTTTGTGAATGGCTGTAGCCTCGAGTGAAATACATTTATAATAATTTTCATACCACAAGACCTTTTCCGTTTAATATCAGATACTTTTATTATTGTAGTATAAAGCTCTATGTTATTATACACATTTTTCTCCCTTTTTTAACATAATGATTAGAAAGATTTCCCTTTTACTTTTGTGTATAAGTCAAACAAGACACCTGTGAAAATACGGAAAGTATGTTTCACTGCAGAAAAAAAAGAAGAAAATTTTACAGTGAAAATACGGTAAATGAAAATACTCATTTTATTTCATCTATATGTCTCAATATTTCATTCATAAGTATATAATAAATTGCCAATCTTTTCACGAAAATTAGCATGATCGGGAGAAATGTTGCTTTAAATCATAATGAAAGTTATGATACATATTCATTGACTTTCAGAAATAAAACTATTTTAACTTTGATAAAGAACTTTTTGTGATACTTTATAGGTTTAAACACCAAACATGGTTTTTAAAATAGCTTAGTTAATGCAATATGATGTAATACTTCTGATGATTTTATAATAATGATTAGTTCTAAGATAAAAATGTATTTTTTGTCATTTATCCCTACATGAAATAGCCGCCGTCATCACTTACTTATACACCAGTCCCGTTTTACACCACACTTTAGACAGATACAGTCTCTTATTCTGAATAACAGAATTATGTTTGCTATGCATTTTGAACATCTTTCTAATTTGGCAGGTTTTCTGCAGAAGCTAAAAGACCTCTCGTATAATTCTTTCCGAAGAAGCTTACATGTTATTGTAACAAGAACACTTGCCGATTGCATATATTTATAATGTGACGGGCAATAATGATATGTTGTGATAGCGTTGTTATGGAGATACTGGTACTGTGAAATAAACAATATATCTTTATATTACTTTACGTTTGACACATAGAAGATTTATGTGAAATTCAAATTAGACAATTTTATTGCAAGTTTTAGCAATTTAACGATTTTACTCATGACCTAAACTTTTAACGAATTCAGACAACTTACATATCAACGTTAGCTAAGCTAACTAAAGTGTCGTGTAAGCAAGTTTACAGTTAATGGAACATTAATTAGGACTATCACCTAATACAATAACACTGTAAGAGTATTGGCCATGTATGTCTGAAACATCTACAAACTTGCTTTTATCAATAATAAATGGAATAAAATCAACCAAACATTTTTTTCTGTTAAGAAATAAAAAAAACACATGAAGATTACAGATCTATATAGAATTGTCCATGTACTAATGTAACAAATGTAATATATGTGTACTGTATAAGACACGTACATTGTATTTTCATGTTCACATGAATGTAAGGAAATAAAACTGAATACAAATAATACGAACTTATATCTACGCTATATAGAAATCGAAAATAGAGAAAACGTAAATTGATTTTCAAATTCCTTAAAAATAGAATGACTTGTTCTAGATTGAAAACAGGTCAAATCCATCACATACACTCAGCAACCAACCTAGTGTCCGTCTTTCTCTACTCGACCTTCTTCCGGGTAATCGTGTAAGACTTTATGGTATGAATAAACGCTCTTGAAATTATTTAAACAATCTGTTTGTTTGTGTTGCCATTGAGATGGGCTCTCCATTCCTGATACTAGAGTAGAAAATAAATATACAGTGCTGAGGATTGATAAATATTTGAATTAATTTAACTGGTGTTAAGTCATGCAACAAATCTGATTCTGACTTTTCTGCATTGTACATTACTCTTTTATACGCCACCATTTGAGCTTACAATTTTGTTGAGAATTATTTGTTATTGAATTAATCGCAGTTTTGCCGTATAAAGACATGCATGGCTAAATCTTTTAGACAATTATATGGCTTCTGGCAGGGTGGCCTTGTAGTTTGGCTAATAATTCATTTTATTTGTGTCAACATATATAACTAATGTTTTCGATAAAAGACACTGTACTCTGGGAAAACGTTTAATTGGAGGTATATGATTTTCTTCAAGTCTGCCAAGATTGTTACATGTAGAACAATATTTTCAGGACATTTCAAACGCTGTATTTGTCTTGTTATATCTCTCTAGTACCGAGTTATATCACAGGGATACCATGTCATATCACAGCACACAATATGTTACATTGTATATTAAAGTGTAAACCATTTTAGATCATAGCCTTTAAAATGTCACAATGTAGCAATTGTTATCTATATCTGTATACCAAAATGTTAACAGTGTGAAGTATGTCATATTATAGCATTTACTATGTTATATTACAGTGTAAACCATGTCATGTCAAAGCATTCACTATATCATATCACAACGTTAAACATGTTTAATAATTGCATTCACTATGTTGCATCATAGCATGCGAAATGTCATACCATAGTATTCACTATGTTTTGTTAACCATGTCATATCAAAACATTTTCTATGCCATATCAGCGCGAGAATTATGTCATGTCAAAGCATTCACTATGCTATATAAAAGCGTTAACAATGTCATATAATAGCAGTTTGTATGTAATACTATAGTATGATGGCTGATTTGTGCCATGTCACCATTTCATCGTTCTTTCTCCGCGTGGCGCAAAGAAAAACACGGTTAAAGGACAATCATATATGCATTCACACTTTTGTCGTACTTTTGCTCCGTGGGACGCAAGGCGGAAACACGATGAAACCGCAGTCACCACTTTGTCGTATTTTCGTGTTTTTGCCTTTCGTTTTGCGGTGACTTTTCATATTTTCGACCCGCGGTGCGCCAGGCGAAGAAATGTCACCACTTTGTCGAATCCTCGTGTCTTCGCTTGGTGCATCGCCGAGCGAAAGGTGTAACATAAAGTGTTTACTTTGTCGTATTTTCATGTTTTCGTCTGGCGCCCCGCTGAGCGAACAATACGACATTGCACAAACAGCCACCATTTATAAGCAGGGACAATGCCATGTCATAACATTCACTTTGTTTGTAAACTGTGTCATATCAAAGCCGTCTCTATGCTATATTACAGCGTAAATGGTGTCATATCATAGCATTCACTATGTTTCTTAACCATGTCATATCAAAGCCTTCTCTATGCTATATTACAGCGTAAATGGTGTCATATCATAGCATTCACTATGTTTCTTAACCATGTCATATCAAAGCCTTCTCTATGCTATATTACAGCGTAAATGGTGTCATATCATAGCATTCACTATGTTTCTTAACCATGTCATATCAAAGCCTTCTCTATGCTTTATTACAGCGTAAATGGTGTCATATCATAGCATTCACTATGTTTCTTAACCATGTCATATCAAAGCCTTCTCTATGCTATATTACAGCGTAAATGGTGTCATATCATAGCATTCACTATGTTTCTTAACCATGTCATATCAAAACATTGCTACTTGTTTGATGATGTTGTTTTCTGTGTGTTTTATATATATTGTTTAGAAGGCCACATTTAAAATCAAGATAGGTTATTTGTGTTTAACGATGATGTATCTTCATGTGTTACCTTCTTTAAATAAAGCTATTATTATTATTATTATTATTATTATTATTATTATTGTTGTTGTTGTTGTTTCTTGTGGTACATAATTTCCAGGGACGCAGTAGGGTCACACAGCGGTCTAAATATAGCTTTCATGCTGAGCATGCGTATTGATACACAGATCTAATAAATTAAGAAATGTGTCAGTCATATAAAATAAAAGATTTTAATCTTTAATGATTAAAATTTGATATAATATTATATCACAACGTGAACCATTTCATATCATAGCATTTACTATATCATATCACAACGTGAAACATGTCACATCATAGCATTTACTATATCATATCACAACGTGAACCATGTCACATCATAGCATTTACTTTATCATATCACAACATGAACCATGTCATATCATAGCATTTACTGTGTCATATCACAACGTGAACCATGTCACATCATAGCATTTACTATATCATATCACAACGTGAACCATGTCACATCATAGCATTTACTGTATCATATCACAACGTGAACCATGTCACATAATAGCATTTACTATATCATATCACAACATGAACCATGTCACATCATAGCATTTACTGTATCATATCACAACGTGAACCATGTCACATAATAGCATTTACTATATCATATCACAACATGAACCATGTCATACCATAACATTTACTTTATCATATCACAACGTGAACCATGTCATATCATAGCATTTCGCTGGGTTTTTTTTCTGCTGCACAACACATGCCATACTGCATTCTAATTCATTTCACATTACCAAACAGAAAATTTAATAAAAGTCTAATGCTTGTTTATGAATGTTTGTATATTTTTGTATTTCATTTCAAAAATCAGTTTTCCGAAGAGAGTCGCCAATATGGACATAATAAGAATACTGGATAGTTTAACATGGTTTTTGTGTATTTGACTATGGTACAAAAGTTATGTCATTATAAAATTAAGTTTTAAGTTCTTAACATTAATATACGCCTACGATCTTATGTAGTTACGTTTGTTCGTATTCACCAATCAATTTAGCCGTCATATTATTCTAAAAATAGACCAACCAGAAATAACTGTTCTATTTACTGTCTTCGATATTTTTTGTTCGGTCCTACTACGAAACGTAAAGAGGTCGTTATATATTAACGTAACGTGTTCACGAAAGTTAACGTGGTTGTCAGAAAGGTTGCCTGAGGCAAAAGTCGTTGTGTATAAGAAAACAAATGATGGTTTTATTCACTAATATATTCATTTTTGCTTCAGTTTAGTTAAAAGTAGGCTTAAGACGCTACTTTATCATTTTTAAATTAACGCCAGTGCATGGATTTTTAAACGTTAACGTTAGATCGAAGTCAAAGTGTACTCGAGTTTAACTGAGAAATTCTTGACTGTATATTCAATATCACATTGAAAAGTATTAAGTTTTGAATACAATTGACACATTTAATGGATAATTCGAACAGGTGTTATCCCATTTAATACAACGTGACGAAATGTACAGACGTAATTCTAGTTCGATTATTTCGTTTGTTTACGTACATTGTAATTATTTTTTGCATATTCGTAAAGTACAGCACATATTAAGGATAAAGGTTGAGGTTGTTTTAGTGTAGTGATTGAAGATGGACTATGGTTCTTCAATAATCTTGAGGCTACTAAAAAACTGTATATTTTTATTTTGTTGAAAGTTCACTAAAGACATAATATTGAATGAGTACTCAATCTTTTTCACGCGGTGTTATTCATAAACAGACATTTCGACTATATGTTTGACAGCTTTATCAAGTGATAATATGATGTGTTATTTTCCCCCCTGTTAGTAATGGTATATAATTGTTCTACATGCTTATATATCTAGATATATATATTGGAATATTAACACCAGGCAATGGCAGCGTTGAAACTACTTATGCATTTTTTCTTGTTACAAATGTTCCTTTTCGGATGTGACGCAAAACGTTTACATCGAGTGAGAAGGGGCTGGTTCTCTAACGGGAAACCTACCGAAGTGCAGTGTGCCTTTAATCCGTGCTCCGTACCCGGATTCTGTGGTACCGGTCGTACGTGTGTGATGGATGATAACTGTCGACATCATTGTGAATGCGAAAACGGATCTTCTCATGAGGAATGCAAAGAAATCACATTGTCACAGGTAGCGACGCCGAAACCTGCAAAATGCACGTTCAATCCATGTGCAAGTCCTGCATTTACATGTGATGGTGGTAGAAAGTGCGTGCTTAATGATTTGTGCATGCCTGAATGTGCCTGCTTGGATGGTTCAACACATTCAAGTTGTCTCGATGAAACTGATGAAACTACAACAAAACATACTATCAACGTAACAACCAAAGCAGATAAATGTGAAACCGGAGGAGTAACATGCAAGAACGGCCAATGTGTTGAAAAAGGGGTCAAATACACGTGTATATGTGATAAGGGATGGTCAGGTTTCACGTGTAACGAAAGCAAATGTACAATGGAATGCTCGGAAGGTTTTTATTGTCATTTTGTTACTCCCTCAGTGCAAATATGTGTAGAAATTCTCCAGGAAAAGACAACTATGCAAACAACTTTATCAACGCAGACAACAGAAATAAGCGTGATTTCTAACGTGTGTAATGGCAGTTATATCGATCATAATTATCAAGAACGAAAATGCCCGTCCGGAACCGCGTGCAAATACGGAATATGTGACAGTGACGGCGATTCTGAAAAGTGCAAGTGTGACGCCGGGTCGACGGGAACGCTGTGCGAATACAAATGCTGCCGAGACTGTGGAAACTTTGGAACATGTACTATTGACGATGAGCGAGGGGAAATTTGCAAGTGTCATGAAGACTACATAGGGGTTAACTGCACGGGAACGAGCTCGCATTTAAATGGTATGTTTACTTTATTTCTTATCACATGTACTTGTTTTAAATATTTAAAAATCGATTAAGGAAAAATATATTGGAATAAATGTTGGAATAAAGTTAGACAAGAATAATTATGTAAGAATGTTTATTAGCAGTAATGCACATTTTACATAACTTATATTGTTTCAGCTGTTTCTCGTGTACTTTTATCATTCTTATCTTTTTTATTTCTCAACATGTCCATGATCATAAGAGAATAATTGTTGGTTCTTATACGAGAGTTGCTATTTCATAAGGGTGTCACGTTTATCTGTTTAAACGGGTACGCGTCGGTTTTTAGCTAAAACACGGTTAGAAAATTCAATAACCGGTAACCGAGGTTACTGTAGTATTTGACTAAAGGGTGGAAAAAGTTTTTAATTGATTCTAAATATTACCTTACTTTTTTATGACAAGATATGACAATTGTTTGTATTTAAGTTGTACTCAACAATGTATTTTCCCGATCTGATAGAATACGGTACGACCCTAGTAGCGGAAAATAGTTATTCCATATTCGGATATGTATTGTAATAATTTTGAATACAACAAAATATGAACAAAATGGCATATCTTGTCGTAAAGAAACAAAGTTAATGTTGAAAATCTAAGGATTTCATTAGTACGTTCGGTTAAACGTTCAACACGGTTATTAAGTCGCCGTTTAAAGGGTTAGCATTTTTCCTTACAAAGTATTTCATGTACACGTGTTCTCATTTCATGTACACAATCATGTATATATAGTTTAATTCAGCCTGTTTTTGTTTTAAGCCCGCAGTTTTAACACATTCAACGAGGCTGATCGAATCCTTAAAAAATTCACTTGTTTAAAACACACAAATTGTGGAACCCTTTAAAGTTATCAAAGTTGCATTGGAGCTGATTAAAGCTGCGGTCTCACTTACTCCCGGCAGAGCCCAGAACCATCCCGGTAAGTTACCCCGGCAGCACTACGGTAATTCCCAACTAACCACCCAGGATGCGCTCCGGATCATCCAGGCAGAGCCCAGGTGAAGCTACGGTTCATGCCGGTGCTTCCCCGGTCGTACCCGGGTGACGCCGGAAGAGCCCCGTTCGATCCAGGCAGAGCCCAGGCAGAGCTCAAGACGATCCAGGCAGAGCCCCGGTAGTACCCCGGTGGATTGAAAACGCGCGAAAATGATTACATGTACATTGATACATAATTTTTATTTAATATAATATCTATTGTTCCAGAATAGTAATTCATGATGATTTTCTGAAAATTCCTTATGCAAGACTGGATAGAAGTGAAAAGGGAAGGGTTTAATACAAACAAGTGCAATCATCGCAAATTGTCGTGATTCTTTTGAAATGAACCGTGCTTTGCCGGGGCTCTACCGGGATCAACCGTAGCTCCATCGTCATCCTCCGGAGCTCTGCCGGCATCCTCCGGGGCTCTGCCGGCATTCACCGGGGGCTCTGTCAGCATTCACCGGAGCTCTACCGTAGCTCTACCGGCTATATCATACCCCGGATCATCCCCGGTTTGTGCCGGCAGAGCTACGGTGCTTCCCCGATGTAACCCCGGTCGTTCCCGTCAGAGCTAAGGATGAAGCCGGCAAACCTATACTTCCCGGATCATCCCGGACCACCCCGGTGATATCCGGGGTCGAATGCCGGATGTTCCCGGATCATCCAGGACGTTGCCGTCAAAGTTACGGATGTACCCCGGTTGTTCCCGGTCGTTCCCGGATCACCCCGGACGTCTACCGGGGCTCTGCCGGGATGTAAGTGAGACTGTAGCTTTAAATGTTTTAAATATATCAAATATAACTAAATCTGGTCACACGACCATTATCTTTCATTAATTACAATAACTCATTATGACAATGTTAACAAGTCCTATGACAACAATAAGAGCTATTGTAAAACACTTCCATGCACCAATCATACTTTATTAGGTCATATTTGTGCATGTAGATATCGAGGCTTACTTAAATGAATACAATTCGGAACTATTTTCTTCATTACTTAATATTTTTTTATCGTCATACTTCTTTATATTTATTTCAAAGACACTTGGGGCTCAGATCCTCTTCCTCCCTCCCCATTTATGTATTATCAAGTAATTAAATCTTTGTTTTACTTTATTAACCCGCATACAAATATTATACAATCGTGTGGATGATATGTAAGTTACTACGTGGTCAACTAGTTCTTAAATTATCCAAACATTTGTAGTGATTAGTATTGAAACTTTTTTTCCTGCCCAGTAACGTCAATGAACAGTTTCGATTTTTCACAGAAGCATTCTTGAGTGAATATGTGTCCTTTTGTTGTAATTCTGGTGACAGGGCAAATACAGCAAACTAAAATCTTAAACTCTGCCCGGCGTGTTTGTCATCATTTTGAATGTTATAACTTAGGCCAACTACAAAGACAAAAAGGTACTTGAGCCACTAAAAGAATAGCAAACCCGCAAACAGTCAATTTTTTATAGCTGCACAAATTTTGTATTTTAGTACTCTGGGATTGATTCACAGAAAAATGCATGAGTTTGCTAATAAATTGAACATATGTTTTAGAAAGAAATTGTATTTTATGAGGGTAATTAATGTCTAACAATTGTATTTCTAGATCGAGTGTGTCACGGTTTCAATAAAGGATGGCTTCTTATCAAGAAAATTCAATAATTATTTGCAATAATTATGGAAGATTGTTCACACAAAAATTATATAGCTCATCCTGCTGAATACGTCATGCTAATAAAACAACAACAACAACAACAACAACAGCAAAATTCTTTGCACGCCTTGTTTCTATCGAACTTGCGTTTAAATGTAAATTTTTTTTAATTTCCAATACGCTTTTTTATGAACACAGTTATCTACATGCACTGACAAACTGCTTTTTTCAATAGTTCATCATTGGTGTTTAATTAATGATATTATATATAATAATTGAATGTAATTAACTCAAGCACGATTCACACTCGCATGAAGAAATACGATTATCAATTCTAAAAAATATATAAATTTTCAACATTAAGCAACACTCACTAGACAGTAGGTATTGAGCTGAATTTAATTACCCTATCCGAACGGTCAATTAAAATAGGAAAGACCGAATAATACGGCATTGCCTCTTATTTGGTTTATTTGAGTTTCTCCAATTTTCTTGAAACTTTGTTTCGAGAAATAAACGCAGCTGAACTCAAATTTATCGGACTGTAACGATCTGTAACGTAATTTTTGCTTGTTTCTTTACCCGCTGTTTTCCTGCTATTACTCTTTAAATAGTAATAAAAACACGACCAGGTACATAAGAAACGAATTACGATATAAAGTCGTTGCAACAGAATGAATTGACTTTTACCGATCAATGGTGCTTATGGCAAGAGGGCTATCAGCATGTTGAGAACTGATTACATTGTATCGAGAAGTTTGGTTCCTACTCCTGTTAGTGGCTGTAATTGTCATGTATAGCACTGCTGCATGGGGACCTGTGATATACGTGTAGTTAGCCAGATTATGTGAATATGGACCCGCTAATTTTGGAATTGACAAATTGACACAAAGTATTTTCTATTTAGCGAAAAGAAATTTCAACGAAATAAAGGATGCTAAAATGATATTAAAATAATCACTTTCAAGAAACATTTCAGAAAGCAACTGATATTTTTGTTTTTGAATTTATATGAATGTGTTTTACTTATATGCAATAATAAGCGAATGATACAATCAACATGATACATATAGCACATACAAGCGCGTTTATAAAAATAACATTGTTCATGTCACGTAAAAATATTGTAATTTAGCATCACGCATATAGTGTAAAGAACAAAGCAATTTTACATGAATGCTCTTCCATAATTATGATTGTCAAGTCTTTTAAAGGGCAATAAATAATAGAAAATAATGACATCATAATATCATACTAATTGGGCTTGCATCATAAATACATTCAATTGTTATCGAACGAAAAACATAAAATATGTTTTTTTTGGCAGATAATTTTCTGTTACGGTTAAGATACATTTGTAATAAGAAATCTATAACACATAAACTCAAGACTTCGATTGTAAATGAATGAATGAATGAATGAATGAATGAATGGATGAATTGAATAAATGAATGAATGAATGAATGAATGAATGAATGAATGAATGAATCAGTCAAGATACGTTAAAATGTTGTTAGCACAACCCGATATACATGTATATTTATAAATTGTCAAGGCAAAAACAAACTACTTTATCAAATAAATCATCGAACTTCTACTATATATAAGTGCAGCGACATTATAAGAGCACATTGTTAAGAAAATATTGTAAAATCTAAATAGAATTGTAAATATTGACTAAGCCAATAAACGTTTTATTTATTTCACCCGAGAGGCGCACCTTTATTTTCACGATGTTATCTACACCAGTGTATAGCAAAATTCTACGTCAGCGAATGAAATAGACCGTGCAGTGTTTATCTTGTTGTTTTCTAAAAAAAAAACATTAACATAGGACGGGCAGAAAGAACATACCGTAAAGTTTCTTTTATTGGATTATACAAAAAATAAATAATAATAAAACATACACCGTTCGTGTTCTGTTTGTCAGGAAAGGATTTAAGTTATTTTTATACATTATTACCATCTCTGTAAATTTCGTACCGGATGTTATTAAATTCGGATAACATTTGCATGTAGAAATTTTATATTTACATATTGGACATTATGCCATATAAGAGGTCTAAATTAAGACGAAATAGAAATTGAATGGGACTTAAAAATGCATACTGAAGAGATATTTATTGTTACATTTACTGTTCTTTTTATAACAAATGTCGAATCTCAGACTTTATGTGCATTTGACCCGTGTATAATACCAAACGTTTGCAATGGAATGACATGCTTTCTTGGTGACGATTGTCAACAATTCTGTGCATGTGACGAGAATTCTGTCGCAGACGACTGTAAAAATATCACTATGACAACTTCAACATCCGTGACTTCTACTGTAACTGAAAAGAAGGTGTTTCACTGTAAGTGTGAAAATAGTGATTGTTTAATAGCACGTGAAAATTTGTCGTTTTGTTATTGTGATACCGGCTGGGGAGGAGAGAGGTGCGACACTCCATGCTTATTGAACTGTTCAGAAAGTGAGAGGTGTTTTCCTGTGCCTGACATTCCGATTATGTCTTATTGTAAGAAGTTTACAGAAGACGAAGAAGACACCACGACCTTGGCCCCGGTCATCACTTCCGAGTACTCTAATAAGAGAACATACAACGTATGTGACTCTTCGTACACGTTACGTCCGGAATCAGAAAGAATATGTAATGGTTGGCCATGTCAGTATGGAACATGTGAATCGAACGGGACCTTAGTATGGTGTAACTGTGACCCAGGAGCAATAGGTATTGTGTGCAACAGAAAATGCTGTAAAACGTGTTTGTATGGGTCTTGTTTCTATGACAATGAAAGAGATACTGAGCTATGTAATTGTCATGCCAACTATTCTGGACCGTTCTGCGAAAGATGGGACCCACCAAGTAAGTAACTGTATATGGCGGAAACGTTTACATTAATCCGTAAAGAAACACAATACATGTTTCCTTAAATCGGGGTTATTGAAAGTATATGTTTGCATATTTGTTATCGAAAAAAAAACGCGCATATAGTTGTGGGATTTTTTAAATAGCTTATGGCATAAAGGTGCTTTCAAACATTTTGACCACCAATCTTGAAGCCGGGATAATATCCACTTGTAAATGACTTCTTAAAATTATACCTTTCTTGTAAATATGCAATTCTTCTTTATCAAACTTATTTGTGTAAACGATGTGAAATCTTCCGATTGATGCACTCACAAAAATTATAAGTGACTCAGCGGCTATGAATAACACTAATCACTTCTCGTGCAGACACTACATGTATATAATTATGCATTATCACGGTTCTGTTTGTATAAAGTTAAGGGTGGTTTTTCTGGCTGATATTCGTTTCAAAATTGATCAAAATCACAAGCGGAACAACATAAATAACCACACATAATAGGAACCAGTATCCTTTTAAACAAAACCACATATATTCAAAATATCATTGTGGCATTTTATATGAACAAGTAATTAACCATTTAAATATTTTCATAGATATAGAAAATATGTGAGTGTAGAATGTCTGAAATATGTCCATGGATGAAAAAATCACAAACACTTATCGCTCTAAACTATGGAAAGAAATAATGATGTAGTAGAAGGGATGTGCAATATATCATAATATATTGGATATCGCAATATTTTATCCCACAATGCTATGTCGCAAAAAAAATGAATTAGAAGTGTTCCCAACTTGTAATTTGACTTCAAATGACATTTACATACAGTTGTTTAAACTCTTTCATTTACAATCCCGCGAAATCTTTGATGAAAGGGTCTCTTGATTAAATTGGGACATAATAAGATTTATGCTAATTTTCATGAAAAATTTGAAAATGTAAATATATCTATAGTGAAGTGTACAAAGAATGTAGGAAAGCAATTTACATTATATAAACAGCACTTGCATTCTAAGTAAATTACTAAGGTCAGAACATACAAAAAATAACACTTACACCGTTAGTCAAGCAGTAGAAATATGGTGATAAATACTGTAAAATCAGTCATTAGACGCACATAGCATGTAATTTGTTACTTGAATCTATTTCATTTGATTTTTTTCCCTCAAGTTTGATTTTCTTAAAAAATTTGACTCTTTAAGTCAAAGTTCTAGATTTTCAAGTATTTTATATAGTTAACAATTTATTGCAACGTGTCTTTAAAGATCGTTATTCATTGCAATATGATTTTTTCTTTGCAATACCCAGCTTACTCGTTGTTATTTTTGATACAGCTTGTTTTATGTGGTAAGTAATGAGGTATTTAGAATGATTACCAAATAACCTGAAACATTATATATCCGGGTTTACTAAACAGTACACATTACACTCAATATGTATTTAATGACTTTTTTGAAATGTTTTTAATAACGACTGGTACCGGTAAAACTGTTACTTTTTCCAGAGTTTCTAGAGACTTTTCTGGAAACTACTAGAAGTTACGAGACGAAAACAGTTTTTTTCACAGAACAAAATATTCACAATACTTATAATGAAACGCTGCGTGTAAAATCAGATAGAACATGTGATAGATTTTCATAGGAATGCAAGTACAGCGTATGTAAATTTGATCAAGAATTACAAGAAATTGTATGTATATGTGACAATGGTGCATTCGGTAAACCTTGTAAAACATAGATGTTGTAAACCATGTTTTCTTGTCCCATCCTCTTCTTATTTGTTGTAAAGTAACAAGTACCTGTCTGAAATAAACCTTCTTATTTGTTGTAAAGTAACAAGTACCTGTCTGAAATAAACCAACAAATATAGACATTTGTCATGTGTTTTATTTGTAGTTGTTAAAAATATGTTTTTTATTATACATGCATGTAGTACTTTTTAACTAAGAAAAATATGAAACTAGTAAATGTTTCTTCAGATAATGAAAACATATTCTTTGTTGTTGTTGTTGTTGTTTGTTGTAGAAAACCGATACTTCAATTGTCAATATTTTTCAAACAGGGTGGTTAATTTTTGTATTTTTTTTTTTTTTTGTATTTATGTCCAGAATATAGTACAGTATATTAATATAAAGTGTTTAATGCCAATACATCTAATATCTTAACACTGTCATGAAAATTTTATCTTAATATCTAAAAATAAAGTAATAATTCGGATTTCATCACGCTACATGATTTATTTTAGTTAATTCATTTTATTTTTTCACCCATTTTGTTACCTTATGCAAGCTTAAATTAAAATATCTTAATAATACATTGCATGCTAGGCTTAGTAACCTGTCATAAGAATCAGCTTAGCCAAAATTAATGTAATTTATATGGTTTTCATTTTGTTGAAGGGGGAAATGAAGGCGAAACTCATGTCCAAAGCCGCGTGAGTAATCACAGTACTTATTTGTGTTTCTTTTGTTTTAATTATTACAGCAACATATGCGCCACCGGAGGAAGTGACGTGGCATTACTGGGTAGTTGGCGCATGCGTATTACTCCTACTGATCCTCATAGCGTTAATGGTTGTAGTTCCATACATTTTATGGAGAAATCGGGTCATACTCGTCATGAAGTTCGTACATTACTTTCAAGGTTACGAGGATGATGGTAAGTGGAATAAAAGTACAAGAAGTCGCAATGGTGTTATTCCCAGATTTAATATGTTATCCACGTAATATTTTACGCCACTTAATTTATAATGTGACTGTAATTTATAAAGGGAATGTTTTATTTATAAAGCAAATATAAGTAAAAAAAATCGTCTTTAGTATAATAATGGCTTGCTAATGTACAATGTGAATGAATTTTCTTTTCTTGCAGACGACAGGCAATGGGACGCGTTTATCTCTTATAAATCTAACAAAGCAGACGAACAGTTTGTGGTCAAAACATTGTTTCCAATGCTCGAGAGGGAAATGGGATTTAAAATCAACGTACATTTCAGAGACTTTGTGCCGGGAGAAAGTAGGTTTTTCATTTTTTTACATTGCACATGATATTATCCGCAAGAAGAAAACATTTAGACATTTGGGTATCCAAATTGAGAGGTATTTTAGCTCATTAATGACATTAATGAGCATGTATGGTACATGCATTCTGATTTTCAGTAAGCATGTGTTTTGGATTTTGATTTGAAGTGTCTATAGTCTAAAATAAAATTGGTTGATTTTTTTTACCGGTATCAGCAAGAATTAAATAATTTATTGGTACCAACCATTTATATACAGTCATGAGACACACTTGTTTTAATGTCAAAGTATTATATGCCAACTTACTTTATCTTTAAACATTTATCTATTTATAGACTATTAGTACAATATCTTCTCTACATTTTCACTATCATTTGCTCTAATTGTAATCCAAATTCTAGAGACGAGAACTTCAGGTAATTTTGTCGTAGAAAAATGCATTGGTAACGGTTTAGAAGGGAAGGAAAGGCATTCAGACTTAGTAGCTTTATAAAGAGAAAATCAGGTCTATTGTCAACACTAAGCTTCCATTTTTCAATGTTGAACGTTTTGAAGACATTTAGTCCAATTACTTTTTATGCGCCCGAAGACCTTCGGGCGTATTATGATATGGTGTTTTCCGTCCGTCTGTCTGTCTGTCGGTCCGTCCGTCTGACTGACTGACTGACCGTCATTGTATTAGGCATGTAAGTATGTTATGTATAAACCTTGATCAAGTTCGATTTTGGCTGCAATACTTTACTCATTTATGAAAGAGTTATGCCTCTTCTAAGACAATTTGTTAGTGAAACTATTGGTTTCAACAGAATTACTTTTGAAAAATTTCAATGAATCTTTTTTCTATTTGACATGCAAGTATGTTATATCAAAATATAACAAGTTATGTTCGATCTTCATTGAAATCAACTGATTATTGGAAGAGCTATGCCCCATTTAAAATTTTACTTCTTTCAAATGTGTTTTGTAATTTATATTCTAACTATTACTACTATGATTACTCACAGGTGAACGTCGCGTAGCCATGACTTAGACTATACCCCCGTTCCCCCTCTACAACCCAAAACCCTTAAACATCATCCAAACATCATAATATTGACAAAAATAAATTTTATGAAAAAAAAAATTATGACTCTAAAAAAGTATTACGGTATTTTACTCTACTTTCATTTTACATAGAAATATCAATTATCAGCGCATATATTCATCAATTTTTCACCGATCTTAACAATCCTAGTGTCAAATCTTATATAAATAAATACTTTTAAGAAAACAACACTGACACCTTCGCTGATTTATTGACGACGGCTTGTAATAATAACATAGCAGTCTTTAATCTATTGTACTGTCCTTTATGTGACAATGTGTAAATTGTTGATTTTCTGTTAGTTGAGGTTTGTATTTGGATGTGAACATGATGTATACATATGATGTCTGAAGTTGCATGATATTAAAATAATTTAATGTTTTTGAATACATGTGAGTGTAGTGTGTGTGCTTTTTAAATGACTATAAACTTGTATATTTTGAGGTGCTTTTGATATATAGATATGTTGTCATTTGGTATGTATTTATAAATATGCAGACTTTTATTTGTTGTGTTTGTAAAGATATTTTTGTTCAATTATATTAAAGTAGATATCGTGCGCTTTGTATATTGGATGATATAAAATAAAGTATTAGAATATAGAGAATTTATACTACAAAATATCTTCGTGGCCGGATAGTTCATTAGATATTACTTGACCCTATGGTATATTACTTGACCCTATGGTATATAATATGTTCGAGTTACACAAGTGTGTTCGGATCCTGAAAGAACATTATCTTGGAAAGTCGGATTTACTACTGCGGTTCCCCCGCTTGTGCATGAAATAATGAATGTGTTTATATATTTACCATACGAAAAAATTTTTAATGTAAGTTTAAAAAATAAGATTTTGATGTAGGAAATGAAGTATTTCTTTTAAAAATAACCAACACAATCATTTCATAGTAATAATATTAGTTAGTTGAACTTTGATATAATTATGGGATCTGTTTTAAACTGGAAATATCTTTAGAAATTAACAATTTTTGATAATGTGAAATCTTCCGCAGGTGACACTTTATAAATATTGCAGTGGTTAAATGTGTATGAAATAAGTACAAGGCTCTTGATTTAATTGATTTTATTTGATGATTTTATCTTAATAAAATAGAATTACTCCCATTGTTGGGAAACCATTAATGTCATGGAAAATAACTTTTATTATTTTATTGACACAGTCGGTTGAAACTTTAATGTGAAATATAGCTTTAAATACCGGGAGATAAATTTTTTAATTGTGCGTTGTATTTCTAAATATAATGTGAACTTGTCATTTTAAATTCACTTTTCTAATTCGTTTTGTATTACCTTGTAATGCTAGATTGATTTTGTCATCTATCCACCCACATTTTGTCTATTTCATTGTGCATCACAGAGTACACAATTACAATCTTGGTGTTTAAGCTTTGTATACCAGTTGTCATTATAAAAATCTTCCTGTGATGTTGAGACATAGAAGAAAATACTGAAGATAAAATGTATCGCCCATTACTACTATTAGATTGCCCGTATATGATCCGTACGTCTTGGTGACGTGTCTATCGTTTGTCAGTCTGTCATGCAGTTTTTATACATACGCATTAATAAGATATATTTAGACAAAAAAAGTTCCGTTCCTTTTTTATATTTGTTTGAAAGATTCGCCATATACATTGTTTAATCAATATGAAATTCAATATTCTAATTGCAATTGGTTCTGCTTATTAATGCATATTTTTCATAACAAAAAATGAGATAAAATAAAAATAAATAAAAAAGCTAACCATATTGGAAAGGAAAAAAACAAGCCACTATTACACTGTTCAACTGACAAGTTGTCTTTCATTTATTCCTTATATAGCAATCGCAAACAACATCATCTCGGCGGTGCAATGTTCTAGAAGAACAATCATGATCATAACTCCATCTTATGTCACGAGTGAATTCACCAAGTTTGAATACCAGGTGGCGCAACAAGAAATGCTGAAGAGAAAACACAGAATCATCCCAATTCTGTTTGACGACATTTCCGAATGCAAAGATGCAATGGACCCAAACTTAAAGGTTATTTTAAATTCGGGTAAGACACACTTTTATATTTATTTTGAAAGAGGTGTTGGAGCACCACACTAAATACCGTATTCCGGTATATACCGGACAAGGCGCTTGAATGATTTTACGTTAAAATCTCAACTTTTCACCCAAAAGAATGAACTTTAAAATGTCTAATTAATCTCTTCACGCCGATTTATATACGATAATAAATAAAAACGTAAGAATGGGCGAAAAAAGCGATATTTTGTTTACTTCTGCAAGCTTCTGGAGGTACTGCTTCAACAGTGTAGTGAGTTAAATGCATTTATTATTGCATACCATTCTTGTATGCTTCCTTGTCTTAATAATGATTATATTTATTTTGCAGTGACATACATTGAATGGCCAAAAGATGGCGATGAGAAAAAAATAGCGAAATTTTGGAAGCGGATAGAACTCTCTATGCCCAAAATAAAGAATCGTTCATTGGATATTGACAATGACAAAACTAACACGAACGGCGTTGTGAAAATGACAAAACCAGATGATATCAATATATCATTGTCAAATAAAACAGGGAAAAATAAAACTGAAATCCCAAAAAGTAATATATACAATATGATTGACGAGTTAAAACTTGATCCTGAAGAGGTATATGACACTCTAAATGAATCAGAGATGCAGTCAAAAGTGATAAAAAAGAGTACCCGACAGCAGAATGGTTATAATAATGCACCGCAACAGAAGTTCTAGATTATATCTGTGTTCATGTTAATTATAAAATATCAAAACTGTCAATTACGAAGAGAAAGTTAAAACTTTCCTGACGTAGACATTCGGTACAAGCGAAGGTAAAATGTCATTTGGTGAAGACATTAGTTTTGGTTTTGCATATGACATAACGTTTTGCGGTATTTTTATTCAGAAGTATACACGTATGTCTGGTTGTGGTTAAAAAGTAAAGTATTTGCTGGTTTAAGTTTAAATTACTAGTATCCTGTTTGTGTTTAGAATTAAAAATTAACATTTAGGCATAGATTGGAGTCTGGTTGAAAGCATCAGCATCATTAGAATCGATGTATGTTAACATGACATTATGCTCGTTTTTATATATTTCAAAAGATTTACTATTATTAAAGTCATTGACCAAGCACTAATGCAAGAAATAGGATGGATACAACATAAATACTGCCTAAAATAAGAAAAGATGTACCTTTTACGTTACAGATACATTCTGAAGGATATTTCAATGAGTCACTTTGTTTATTGATTATTTGAACAGTCTGGCAAAATGTTAAGTTGTTCATTTTTTACTATTACCTGAACATTAATCATTATAATATTGATTTATTGTCAAATGATAAAGTGCTCAAGAACAACAACCATAACAATCTTGAAACAACTATGTTAAAGTAGACTTATTTCCCTTAGCTAGAGTGTATTTTAAACCTTTTTTTCTGACCGTTAACATTGACAGGACGATACAGTCTAAAAAACTTTTAAAAAGAGCCAATACTATCAACTAAAAGGGACTCCACTGAGGTTTTTTGACATGATAGAACTGGAAATAATTTTTCGAGATTAATGGTTAATTTGATGTAGGTCTAGACCAATAACTTCTGTGTAAATGTTCAGATCATTTACTCACTCCGTTTTTCCAGAATAATTATTCTTATTGTGAAAAAGGACCCAAAATTGAAAAGCGTTCCAACGCTTTTCGATCTAATTGGACTTAAAATTGCACAAAAATATGATTTTAAAATTATTTCTGAGTACATGTATTTTCTTATCATCTTTTGCAATCTTTCTGTTATAAGTGTCCCAGATGATCTATGTAGAAAATTCAAATTATCTTATGTTTGATGCTTTTGTACCTCAGTGGAGTTCCTTTATATGAAATGTTACATGTTAGAGGCGTAATTAGTGTTTTATACTTGAGTGTTGCTAATAGCCAACGTCATGCCGAGTATGTGATTTTCGTCACACCTCCTTAACGAATGACAGTAAACTATGAAATTCTCTCTAAAAGATCATAATTATGTTTTAAGACCTCTGGAGCAGGGAATGGGATGATCACTTTTATGAGGCTACTCGAATACAGTATACTGTAACATTCAATTTATCACATATCCAAAATAATAGCTATTCAAAGGAAAAAAGAATAACTTTTTCATCGTCTCGGTCACTATAATAAATCATTTTTTTTTTACTCAAAAGTTCGTTTGATGCAGGTTTTCAACCTGGAACAATAAAAGCAGGGTAATTACCCACCTAACTGCGCTATTTCCGGAGGTGATAATGATATGAAAAATAAACACGTTAAACTGGTGTATCCGTCGTCTCAACATGACTCAAGTTTGTCTTTATATTTATATTCATGTAAAATATGTAAATTTCCAGGAACATTTGACATGTAACTACGTAGCCATTGATACTTGAACATCAATTAAAATTACTTTTAAACATATTTTCTGCATATTTTAACAAAGATATGCAAGAAAAATAAATCATAAACAGAACTTGTCCAACAAAGCTTAAAAAGGATGAAGTATATAGGTAAAAGTAAAATGCATGACCCTGTTCCTGGAAATGCCCATGTCTGAATTAAAATGTTTGAAATTAAATGATGCGTTAGTTTTGTGTATCTAAAACAACAGTTTATACAACACCTACTGAGACTGAAAATCGACAAAATAGTCGAACGTACACATCACATTGGCGATTCGTGAGGAACTCACACGTATGTCTCACAGGTGTGATGTATTCGCACCCAATTGTCACTTCATGTGACAAATGCGTTTTGTGAAAATTGAGGTTCAACAGTGCAGTCCAAGAGAAAAACAACAAATTGTATTCATACATTTCAAGAAAAATCTAATCTAAAGTACAATTGAAGTGTCCGGGCATCCTCCTATGATGTCGTAGTTTGATGGTTAAAAGATCTTTGATTTTATTATAAATATTAATTAATCTTTACATCATGCTGACCACAAACAATAATATAGGCGTAGGTTTTGTTTTGTTACAAGTGGAATGTACCTACTTTTCAGAAGTACTTCCGTGCATGTTTACGACAATGTGGTATCTGCCAATTTAAAATTGGTTATTAAGAGGTATAGCTTAAATGTTGTTGATGTTGTACATGTAGTATAATCTACTATAAATGATGCGCAGATACAAATGATGACTGTTTAATACCTCCATATACGGAGAGCAGCATCAATAATAAATAAACATACATGAATAGACAATAATGATATCAACATACATAAAAATCAGCTAAAATACAAATGTTGCATAAGTATCAAGAATAAGTAAACTTTAGCTGCTTACACATTGATAGTAAAGTAAGTGAAAAGGAATGAAGACCAACGTACAATGTAATTATATAAGAAAACACACAAAATTATTCTCAAAAATACAAAAACAAACAATTAAAATCGGTAGATCCTATTTTTTTCATAACTTAATAGTTCTGCAAATAATTTTCCCACATTTTGCTCCACGTTTATGTGAAATATTATAAAATAGTTTTTTAAGATAGAAACATTTGACACGTCATCGTAGAATAAAGGCCAACTTACTTTTGCCAAATCTGAAATTCTTTACTCCGATTTCTGACATGAACTCCAAGCCCATATTTCAAGTCTTAAAAGGTCAGACATTCAAATCTTGCTTAACATATGCCAACAGGTCAGACATTCAGGTCTTGCCCATTATGTGTCAACAGTTTAGCCATTTAGGTATTGCCAATTATAAGTCAACAGTTTAGCCATTCAAGCCATTCAGGCATTGCCCATTATATGTCAACAGTTAAGCCCTTCAGGTATCAACGGTTTAGCCATTCAGGTATTGCCCATTTAATGTCAACAGTTTAGCCATTCAAGTGTTGTCCATTATGTGTCAACAGTTTAGCCATTCAGGTCTTCTCCATTATGTGTCAAAAGTTTAGCCATTCAGGTATTGCCCATTATGTGTCAACAGTTTAGTCATCCAGGTATTATGTGTCAACGTTCTTGCCCATAATGTGTCAACAGTATACCCATTCAGGTATTGCCCATTATGTGTCAACAGTTTAGCCATCCAGGTATTGCCCATTATATGTCAACAGTTAAGCCATTCAGGTATTGCCCATTATGTTTCAACAGTTTAGCCATTAAGGTCTTCCCCATTATGTGTCAACGGTTTTGCCATTAAGGTCTTCCCCATTATGTGTCAACAGTTTAGCCATTAAGGTCTTCCCCATTATGTGTCAACGGTTAAGCCATTAAGGTCTTCCCCATTATGTGTCAACGGTTTAGCCATTAAGGTCTTCCCCATTATGTGTCAACGGTTTAGCCATTAAGGTCTTCCCCATTATGTGCCAACGGTTTAGCCATTAAGGTCTTCCCCATTATGTGTCAACGGTTTAGCCATTAAGGTCTTCCTCATTATGTGTCAACGGTTTAGCCATTCAGGTCTTTCCCATTATGTGTCAACGGTTTAGCCATTAAGGTCTTGCCCATTATGTGTCAACGGTTTAGCCATTAAGGTCTTCCCCATTATGTGTCAACGGTTTTGCCATTAAGTTCTTCCCCATTATATGTCAACAGTTTAACCATTAAGATCTTCCCCATTATGTGTCAACGGTTTAGCCATTTAGGTCTTCCCCATTATGTGTCAACGGTTTAGCCATTCAGGTCTTCCCCATTATGTGTAAACAGTTTAGCCATTAAGGTCTTGCCCATTATGTGTCAACAGTTTAGCCATTTAGGTCTTGCCAATTATGTGTCAACAGTGTAGCCATTAAGGTCTTCCCCATTATATGTCAACAGTTTAGCCATTTAGGTCTTGCCCATTATGTATCAACAGTTTAGCCATTCAGGTCTTCCCCATTATGTGTCAACAGTTTAGCCATTTAGGTCTTCCCCATTATGTGTCAAAAGTTTAGCCATTTAGGTCTTCCCCATTATGTGTCAACAGTTTAGCCATTTAGGTCTTCCCCATTATGTGTCAACAGTTTAGTCATTTAGGTCTTGACTACGACATACAACATCACTCGTCCATCTTTTTCAAATACATGTTCTTTAATGTTATTCTTATATTAATGCAGCAGAACAAAATTGAGTGCATTGAACCTGTTCTTTCATTTTCTTGATTTATACTGTTTCATTTTGCAATTTTGTGAATGCGTATTATCTGGAAGATGTCCTACAAATTTTATTGAGATAAATGTTTATTTTATTTGTGTAAGTAATTTTTTTTCCACTTCAGATTTTTTTGTTCACTTTCTTACATAAGTTTTTGTACCTTATTTAGTAGAAGATAAAATTATGACTAGAGTAATAGATGGTTAATTATATACATATAAACATAGTTCATATACGCTGTTACGTTCAAATAACTATACTCTGATATTTTTGTATTATATCCATTGTGAATGAGACAGTAGTTATTCTTATACCACTTAAGTGATTTTCATTATTAACATATTTAGCATATTTGTTCATAATACACAATTTGAACACTCACAATTGACAGCTTCCTCGCCAAGTTTCGGAAATGACTTCATTATATGACCACTTATGATCGATTATTCATAATTGTTACACCAACTATCTGCAAATTTCATCTCAAGATTCTTATGTCAACGTCATGACGGTTCAAGTATTTTGTATAAAATGCACAGTTTAAGAAGATTTAAGTTGATTTAACATTAAAGAGCACTTTATGATTTGCAAGAAAAATAATTCATTACATAAAGCATTTGTTTTTTTACCATTATTCGTAGATTTTTTTAGAATCGGTAGGACTATTTATGATGGTTTTATTACGTAAGTTTTTATTGACGGTAATATTTAAGGAGTTATCACTTCTGTCGATGACACTTGTTATAGATGTTAGCCAAGCAGGGATATTCTGCTTTGATATATGCAAGCTGGTATCAGATCCCTGCAGTGGAAAAACATGTGTACCAAAAGCCAAATGTTCATGGGAATGGCAATGCATTTGTGACGAGAAATCAACGTCTGCCGACTGCATTAATAGTACAGAAACATCTACAATAAGTCATACTACTGCACAAACTAATCATGTTCCCTGCCCGTGTACTCATGGTCATTGTATAGAAAACGGTTTCATCGGAACAACTTGCTCGTGTGAAAGCGGATGGGGAGGTGAATACTGCGACGTTGACTTATCAAACAGGATTTTATACAATGTTTGTGGGAGGACATATAAACAGAGATCACTTTCAGAAAGGGTCTGTCATGGCTACTCCTGTATTCACGGTGTTTGCAGAATGAGTAACTCGGAAGTCATTTGTGATTGTGATCCCGGTGCGACAGGTCAAATTTGTCAAAACAAATGTTGTAGAAAATGTGTTTTTGGTAAATGTTTTTATGTAAAGGAAGAAGACAGAGAAATTTGCGTTTTGTGAAAGGTCAAATGAATAGAAAAAAGTGGACATATCCTGAAGTTAATAACTCTGCTTGTATTATCAGTCATATTATTATCATGCTTGCTAAACTTTAGAAAATTAACAAATAATGAATGTTAAGTAAATATATCTCACACCAAAGTGTAAGCAAATAAATGGTTAATGGATAAAAGTGGAGACATTTCTGCATGTTGTTTGTCATTAAGTACATCGACCTGCAAAGCTCGGCCCAAAGTTATACAACAATTGTTACTTTAATATCTTTAATAAGTATTTCTTTAAAAAAGATCTTGCTTGATGGTGCATGATTTAGAAAATCAACCCGGCTATTTTTTAAATGCATACACGAGTGTATAATTGTTGAATAAATCGGCATCACTTATTCTTAAGCCATCTGAAAAAGTGTTCCGTTATTTCTGTGCAAAATTTCTTTCATAACAAAACTGGATAACTGTCCACTGCCCCTCACGTTTTTCGGACGTCATTTTTATAACTCCAATCTTCTATCACATGTTTCCATATATATCCGTTTCTCACTTGTTTCTCAGTTATCTGAATTAACGTCATCTTATCAGAAAAAATAACATTATAATTTGAAGACACAACGTCAGATATTTGATATATGCGCTATTTATTCAAACTTATACACAACAAAATGCAAATAATTTGACGTGCACCAGAAATTCAGATTTAGTCTTCTTTTTTTATAAATTTGGAACTTTAAAGGAAATAGAGTAAATATTAAAAAAAAGAATTGATGGAATGTAAAATAATATATTTATATAGATAATTCATGCTACCAAGGTGGCAAATATATGACCTTTTTGGCGTCTTTTTACTAAAGTCTTGATTCCAAAGCTTTTCGATTTGAATAATGTATACTTTTATCAATAGATAATCAATGTTTTATTCTTGAACTTTACTATATAATGCGTAGGATATGTAACACTTCTAATATTCCAGACATCATTTCATCTTTACAATACAACAAAGCTGTTTTGTACAGAGATTCATCCACTACTGGTCGCACATTAGATTCAGAAAATATATATACGTCGTGAATGCCCTGTATCTTATCCCATATTTGTTCTTCTCTAAAACTTTTTACAACAAATATTTTGCATTTTATGCGTTCTTCAGTCTCAGATCGTGATTCATGTGCGCCACATGATGTGAGAATATGGAGTAGCAGTTGTTTGAAATTTTCTGTTGTTTCATTTCCTTTAAACAACGTTCCCAGAGAGAAAAACATTTCTGGAAGGATAAGTCTTCCTATACAAGCACACCTATTGTCTATGTTAAACGTAATTCGCATAACAAACGGAAACCATTCCCCCAGTTCTCTTATATTTGATGCAGAACATATCTCATATACATGTGTATCTCTTATTTCTTCAATGTTATTCTCCCGTCTTGGCGATGAGAATGAGAAAGCATGGTCTGTCTCGTTTATTTCTTTAACGTCTTCTTCAGTTTTATGAAAATTAACTATAGCTACGGAGTTTTTACTTTGTCGCCTAGTAAACATCAACTTTTCTGTACATGTATTTACACGACTGTCGGTAGAATTGGCCACGGCATCAAGAAGGAAAACAGCTTTGTCACATTCTATTTTATAATTGTCTACAAACAAGTGAAAGAGACTTACTCTAGTAACTTTTAACAGATTTTTAGCAATTGGCAGTGATTTAAGGGCCATCTCCAATTGATTTGAGACTACCTTCAACTCGTCCCTGTCTCCAACAACTAACATAATATTACATTTCACGTAGATTGTATTAACCGGAGCATTTTCGCCTTGACTGCTACTGTAAATAGATAGTGCAGTAAAAGTTAAATTACGCATCGTGCAGAAGCTAAATTATTTTGGAAAATAAAGCAATAGAAAGAGGATCGGAACACGAGGCTATCTGATTTGTTCGACGAGTATAAATCAAATTGTCGATCGTTTTGGTGTTCTTTCACTTTTGCATCATAGTAAAAGATAAAAACACATTCCCTGTCGTCACAAATTCACAATATAAAACTAGAAATATATGTAACCAATGTACAAGAATTTGAACCCTTTCCCTGTCGTCGTAAGTACACCCTAAAAACAATGTAGCCAATCAACGAGCATGCTCTACCAATTTTTATCCCTAAACTGTTCTGTACAATAAAATACTAGTATAGGAAAGTGGTAAATTACAGTGGTTGACGTGTCTGCCTCTCAAGTCTTGTTTTGCGGTAAAACATAAGTATTTCTATAGTTGTAAATTTCAGGAAGCGAACTAAAACGTGATCCACAAAATTTCGAGCTTCAATAAATATATTCAAATAGTAGAATTGTTTTAAATGCTTACTCTTTGTGAAGCTTTGTTTTGCTCCTATAAATGATGTACTTATGAAAGCCATAGATCAATATGGCTATTAGCGGAAGAAGTGCTGTAAAGGCAATGTACATCAATGGTGGTGGTGGTGATGGTGGCGGCGATGTGGCTATAATAGAGTGGAACAAATAATAATAATAAACGTTATATAAAATAATCATCACTTAACGTACATGTACTAAATAATCAACTCGTGAAATGGATATAATATATTTTAGTACAGAATAATTACAAGAACAAGAATCAAACACTTAAACTACTAAGATAAATGATAAGCTGGTATATAACTGTTCTATATCAGAATCATTTAGATTTAAGTCGGTACAACAAAATAGACTTTAAGGCTTTTTCAGTGTAAGGCATTTTCAAATTATTTTAAAGAATTACTTTGTATTGCGGTGTGATCGGAATTGGGTGCTGTCAATTCATTAATTTCCGTGTAAACATTTACTGAGTTTGGTAAAACTGTATTCGTGAAACAAAAAGTCGTATCCTCTAAGAGCAACAACATTACTAACTCATGTTAATTTAACCTGTAATTTTAGGTAACAAAATGTATATAAATAAACAAGAAATAAGTTATTTTCCACTTAAAATACAATTCGATGAAAGAAATATAGATAAATATACCGCAAGTTGCCATCTGTCCGAAATTTTGCTGACACGTGCAATAATAGTCGTACGCATTAATTGTACATGTCCTTGGTATGTAGGAACAGTTTACTGTAAATGGCATAACTGTAACAGAAACATGTGAAATCAATGCATGAATTCTATCTTTCTATTTTTTTTTTGTTTTTGTTTTTTTTTTGCTTGACATTAGTTTTCAATGATAGCATATAATTTGGAATATTGAAGATGGCCCGACCTCTATGAGGTCATTTTATTGTGTCTGCTCGAGTGACGTCAGTCTCAAACACGATGTAAATGTACATTAATTAAAACACATTTCCTGTAAACTTAATGAACTAACGTGCCTCAGTTTAAAACTTTTTTCGATATGCCATTATAATATCGTTCCGATATTCTTAACTTGATAAAAAGCTGATAACTTGATAAAAAGCTGATAACTTGATAAAAAGCTGGTAACTTGATAAAAAAACTGATAACTGGATAAAAAGCTGATAACTGGATAAAAAGCTGGTAAGCGTACCTTTGGCTGCACAATACGGCGTCCATTGGGTGGGACTTTGTCCTGATGTACAGCACAAATTACCCTCTGTACAGTTGCCGTTAGTCAAATTGTAAGCTTCACTTAACGCCTGTTCCTGTTTTTATGGAAATAGAAAACGTCAACAGTGTAAATAATTCACGATTAGTTAAATCATTTAAAATAGTAAAATAAGCCTACACATGGAGTAAAAGCACTGATATGTTTGGATATTTTTTCATCAACCAACATGTAAAACTTCATAATAATTAATTCATAAAATTCATAAAAAATGCAAACATTTAACAGACGCCGTGATGTTTTTCTTGTAAACTAGTGGTGATTGCGACAACTAAAACTGGTGTTTATGTATAAGGAATCTTATAAGGCTAAAATAAAAAAAAACAATATCAGTGATACATACAGATATGTGAAGTTGGCTTGTACATTGTACATCGTAGTTCAGCTAGTAATTCGCCAATATTTGAATTACTAGCTAGTAGATCGGTATTCAGCGTGTAGTTCGAAACAAACAAACTCACATACATAATATTTGAATTACTAGCTAGTAGTTGGGTATTCAGCGTGTAGTTCGGACCAAATACACCAGCATACACAATATTTGAATTACTAGCTAGTAAATCGGTATTCAGCGTGTAGTTCGGAACAAATACACCAGCATACACAATATTTGAATTACTAGCTAGTAAATCGGTATTCAGCGTGTAGTTCGGAACAAATACACCAGCATACACAATATTTGAATTACTAGCTAGTAGATCGGTATTCAGCGTGTAGTTCGAAACAAACAAACTAACATACATAATAGTTGAATTACTAGCTAGTAGTTGGGTATTCAGCGTGTAGTTCGACCAAATACACCAGCATACACAATATTTGAATTACTAGCTAGTAAATCGGTATTCAGCGTGTAGTTCGGAACAAATACACCAGCATACACAATATTTGAATTACTAGCTAGTAGATCGGTATTCAGCGTGTAGTTCGAAACAATCAAACTAACATACATAATATTTGAATTACTAGCTTGTAGTTGGGTATTCAGCGTGTAGTTCGGACAAATACACCAGCATACACAATATTTGAATTACTAGCTAGTAGATCGGTATTCAGCGTGTAGTTCGAAACAAATACACCAGCATACACAATATTTGAATTACTAGCATGTAGATCGGTATTCAGCGTGTAGTTCGGACGAGACACACTAACATACATAATATTTGAATTACTAGCTAGTAGATCGGTATTCAGCGTGTAGTTCGGACCACACACATTAACATACATAATATTTGAATTACTAGCTAGAAGATGAGTATTCAGCGTGTAGTTCGGAACAAACCCACTAGCATACATAATATTTGAATTACTAGCTAGTAGATGGGTACTCAGCGTGTAGTTCAGACCAAATACACCGGCATACACAATATTTGAATTACTAGCTAGTAGATCGGTATTTAGCGTGTAGTTCGGACCAAATACACCATCATACACAATATTTGAATTACTAGCTAGTAGATGGGTATTCAGCGTGTAGTTCATACCAAATACACCGGCATACACAATATTTGAATTACTAGCTAGTAGTTGGGTATTCAGCGTGTAGTTCGGAACAAACCCACTTACATACATAATATTTGAATTACTAGCTAGTAGTTGGGTATTCAGCGTGTAGTTCGGACCAAATGCACCAGCATACAAAATAGTTGAATTACTAGCTAGTAGATCGGTATACAGCGTGTAGTTCGGAAAAAAATACACTAAACAGACATAATATATTGAATTACTAGCTAGTAGTTGGCTATTCAGCGTGTAGTTCGGACCAAATACACCAGCATACAAAATAGTTGAATTACTAGCTAGTAGTTGGGTATTCAGCGTGTAGTTCGGACCAAATGCACCAGCATACAAAATATTTGAATTACTAGCTAGTAGATCGGTATTCAGCGTGTAGTTAGGAACAAACACACTAACATACATAATATTTGAATTACTAGCTTGTAGTTGGGTATTCAGCGTGTAGTTCGGAACAAATACACTTACATACATAATATTTGAATTACTAGCTAGTAGTTGGGTATTCAGCGTGTAGTTCGGAACAAACACACTAACATACATAATATTTGAATTACTAGCTAGTAGTTGGGTATTCAGCGTGTAGTTCGGACCAAATGCACCAGCATACAAAATATTTGAATTACTAGCTAGTAGATCGGTATACAGCGTGTAGTTCGGAAAAAATACACTAACAGACATGATATTTGAATTACTAGCTAGTAGTTGGGTATTCAGCGTGTAGTTCGGACCAAATACACCAGCATACACATTATTTGAATGTTTGAATTACTAGCTAGTAGTTGGGTATTCAGCGTGTTGTTCGGACCAAATGCACCAGCATACAAAATATTTGAATTACTAGCTAGTAGATCGGTATACAGCGTGTAGATCGGAAAAAATACACTAACATACATAATATTTGAATTACTAGCTAGTAGTTGGGTATTCAGCGTGTAGTTCGGACCAAATACACCAGCATACACATTATTTGAATGTTTGAATTACTAGCTAGTAGTTGGGTATTCAGCGTGTAGTTCGGACCAAATGCACCAGCATACAAAATATTTGAATTACTAGCTAGTAGATCGGTATTCAGCGTGTAGTTCGGAACAAACACACTAACATACATAATATTTGAATTACTAGCTTGTAGTTGGGTATTCAGCGTGTAGTTCGGAACAAATACACTTACATACATAATATTTGAATTACTAGCTAGTAGTTGGGTATTCAGCGTGTAGTTCGGAACAAACCCACTTACATACATAATATTTGAATTACTAGCTAGTAGTTGGGTATTCAGCATGTAGTTCGGACCAAATGCACCAGCATACAAAATATTTGAATTACTAGCTAGTAGATCGGTTTACAGCGTGTAGTTCGGAAAAAATACACTAACATACATAATATTTGAATTACTAGCTAGTAGTTGGGTATTCAGCGTGTTGTTCGGACCAAATACACCAGCATACACATTATTTGAATGTTTGAATTACTAGCTAGTAGTTGGGTATTCAGCGTGTAGTTCGGAACAAACCCACTTACATACATAATATTTGAATTACTAGCCAGTAGTTGGGTATTCAGCGTGTAGTTCGGACCAAATACACCAGCATACACATTATTTGAATGTTTGAATTACTAGCTAGTAGTTGGGTATTCAGCGTGTAGTTCGGACCAAATGCACCAGCATACAAAATATTTGAATTACTAGCTAGTAGATCGGTATTCAGCGTGTAGTTCGGAACAAACACACTAACATACATAATATTTGAATTACTAGCTTGTAGTTGGGTATTCAGCGTGTAGTTCGGAACAAATACACTTACATACATAATATTTCAATTACTAGCTAGTAGTTGGGTATTCAGCGTGTAGTTCGAAACAAACACACTAAGATACATAATATTTGAATTACTAGCTAGTAGTTGGGTATTCAGCATGTAGTTCGGACCAAATGCACCAGCATACAAAATATTTGAATTACTAGCTAGTATATCGGTTTACAGCGTGTAGTTCGGAAAAAATACACTAACATACATAATATTTGAATTACTAGCTAGTAGTTGGGTATTCAGCGTGTAGTTCGGAACAAACCCACTTACATACATAATATTTGAATTACTAGCTAGTAGTTGGGTATTCAGCGTGTAGTTCCGACCAAATGCACCAGCATACAAAATAGTTGAATTACTAGCTAGTAGATCGGTATACAGCGTGTAGTTCGGAAAAAATACACTAACAGACATAATATTTGAATTACTAGCTAGTAGTTGGCTATTCAGCGTGTAGTTCGGACCAAATACACCAGCATACACATTATTTGAATGTTTGAATTACTAGCTAGTAGTTGGGTATTCAGCGTGTAGTTCGGACCAAATGCACCAGCATACAAAATATTTGAATTACTAGCTAGTAGATCGGTATTCAGCGTGTAGTTAGGAACAAACACACTAACATACATAATATTTGAATTACTAGCTTGTAGTTGGGTATTCAGCGTGTAGTTCGGAACAAATACACTTACATACATAATATTTGAATTACTAGCTAGTAGTTGGGTATTCAGCGTGTAGTTCGGAACAAACCCACTTACATACATAATATTTGAATTACTAGCTAGTAGTTGGGTATTCAGCGTGTAGTTCGGACCAAATGCACCAGCATACATAATATTTGAATTACTAGCTAGTAGTTGGGTATTCAGCGTGTAGTTCGGAAAAAAATACACTAACAGACATAATATTTGAATTACTAGCTAGTAGTTGGGTATTCAGCGTGTAGATCGGACCAAATACACCAGCATACACATTATTTGAATGTTAGAATTACTAGCTAGTAGTTGGGTATTCAGCGTGTAGTTCGGACCAAATGCACCAGCATACAAAATATTTGAATTACTAGCTAGTAGATCGGTATACAGCGTGTAGATCGGAAAAAATACACTAACATACATAATATTTGAATAACTAGCTAGTAGTTGGGTATTCAGCGTGTAGTTCGGACCAAATACACCAGCATACACATTATTTGAATGTTTGAATTACTAGCTAGTAGTTGGGTATTCAGCGTGTAGTTCGGACCAAATGCACCAGCATACAAATATTTTGAATTACTAGCTAGTAGATCGGTATTCAGCGTGTAGTTCGGAACAAACACACTAACATACATAATATTTGAATTACTAGCTAGTAGTTGGGTATTCAGCGTGTAGTTCGGAACAAACCCACTTACATACATAATATTTGAATTACTAGCTAGTAGTTGGGTATTCAGCATGTAGTTCGGACCAAATGCACCAGCATACAAAATATTTGAATTACTAGCTAGTAGATCGGTTTACAGCGTGTAGTTCGGAAAAAATACACTAACATACATAATATTTGAATTACTAGCTAGTAGTTGGGTATTCAGCGTGTTGTTCGGACCAAATACACCAGCATACACATTATTTGAATGTTTTGAATTACTAGCTAGTAGTTGGGTATTCAGCGTGTAGTTCGGAACAAACCCACTTACATACATAATATTTTGAATTACTAG